GTGCCACTGATTAGGCATTTTTTTACTACAGTGAAACAAAAGGAGCAAAAGGAATTTAGGGAGACCAGCACATACCAGCCAGGTCCTAGTCCCTGTGCACTACCCTGAACTCCCAGACCCAACTGGTGGAAGCCAGGGCTGGTGGCTTTTCTCTGCCACCAACAGAAGCACCATCCATGACCAGCATCCTCTTGAGATGACCGCTGGCCAGCCAGGTTCTCATCTGGAGCTCAGGACCCCTGCCTGTTGCTCTTAAAGCAGAGATCTTCTGAAGCACCAAGTACAGCACTCAGGCGTGGTGCTGTTCTGGACAGCCTGGGTCACAGCTGTGTCCACCACCCCTCTCCTGGACCTTCTCCTGACAGAACCAGAGGCCTTAACCTCACCACTAGCAGCATTGTTTGCAGAGCTAAGATCCCTTCTTCCCTGTCCAGGCGGCCTTCTGAGTCTTCCCTCAGTTGACACTGGTATTTGACGGGAAAACCAAATCTTTCCATGGATTGAGATGCTCATCTTCCAGAATGGCCAGAAACGAAGTAGGCACAGTTGATGTTTTAAACTTCTGAATCACAGACGGAAGACCTAGTTGTGGGGAGTGGCTGGGGTGGTCAGGTGAAGGACAAAGCCGAGGCAGCCCCTGAGGACTGCAGGGACAGAGGCTAGCACGCATTCCTGCTGGCTGTGAGCTCAGAAGGGAGGGCCTGTGGCCCTTGTGGGGGACTTAAACTCAGGGGCCCCGCCCTTCTTGCTCCCACCGAACGTGGCTCCTCTTTCCAGAATGTGGCAGCCCCCATGGGTGATACCTGGCCAGATGCTGGTCCCTGTACACCCTAAATGTCTCTGTGAACAGAACCAGGAGAGGATCCCCCCTGTCCTGTGAGATCTTAGTGAGCTGAGTACAAGTTCTGGGCTGGGTTTCTCTGGCCAGTGAGGGCCTGGGAGCCAGGACAACAGGCAGTTGGTGAGGACTTTGCAGGCCACCGAGATGTCCCAGCCCTGATGGAAGTGCAGGACCCCCGCTGGGCATGACAGGCATTTCGTTAACCTTCCGTTCTGGACTTTAAATGTCAGAACCTGTCTTTGAAGGTGAACATTTCAGAACTTGCAGCCAATAGTAATTGACTAGGGGAATGCGTAAGGGCAGAGCTCCTCCCTGGCTCTGCTCTCTTAACTCAGTGTCTTTATTTACCTTACGGGCCTCTGAAAGTGGCCCAGAATGGGGAGCAGGCCGCTTACCTGGGCTTCACCCCCAAGCAGGTGTCCTGTGTGAGAACCACCTTGGCCTGAAAGTCCTTATTTCTGGCAGTTATGCAAGTGACCATAATGCACGAAGGAGGAGGTTTAACAAGTGAGAGGCTCTCCCGAGGCCATAGCCATGAAGCCGTGGCTGGCCCCTGGCCTGAACTGCCCTGGTGGGCCATACCTGGGGTCTCCCTGTGTCTCACCGTGGCCTGCTGAGGGCAGCTCCCTGCTGAGCTCGGGCTGCACAGCAGTGTGAGTTCTCCCTTGTGTCCTCAGAACCCTTGAGGAGGCCACAGCAACAAAGCACCCAGGCCCAGGGTGCAGCAAGGACTTTGCCTGTGAATATGGTCATCATGGGCTACAGTGCATTAGCCAGGAACACTCCCAACCTGCAGCTCAGCTCACCTGAGGAATGCGGAGTCCCCACTCCTGAGCCCAGAGAGCTGCTGGGTGGGAATGTAGAGGGGACAGCTGGGAACCCCTACCCTTGCCCACCCTCTCCAGAACAGCAGCGTCCCCAATCGTGAGCCACCTCGCTGACTGGGTCTCTGACTCAGGGAGTCAAACGCTGGGCTCAAGCGGATACCTGCTTGGGCTGGAAGATGGGGCTGGGGAGCCAAGGTGCCCGGGAACGGGAGCGGCCTGGTCCCCTGCCCACGGCAGCCCTGATCAGAGGGCAGCGTGACTCCAGAGGTCGGTGTTCTGTGAGCCCCGTGGGCCTGGGACTACCCTGTGGGTGCCGCTCCATGTCCAGGGAAGTCAGGCCCTGGCTCGGAGGTGCCCTGGTACTTGGGCCATACCCGCTCTCCTGATGTCCACGCCCTCTTGACGGTTTGAAGGGTGTAGGGATTCCTTACATCCATGATGTGATGTGCAGCCCTGTCCACTCCCAGCCCGGGCTCCCTTCATCTTGCTGACTGGAAACCGCCCAGCAGACCCCACACCTACCTGTCCTCCCCAGGCCTGATGGCCACCATCCACTCCTGCCTCTGAGTTTCACGGCTCCAGGCTCGTCCTTTCCCTTGGCTCGTGTCCTCAAGTCCATCCGTGTGCTAGCAGGTGTCAGCGATATTCAGTGTGAATAGAGGCCGGATTGGTTTCTGTCCGTTTGTGGACGGGGCATTGGTGCACACCTTTTGTTCCTGTGAATGATGCTGTGAACGCAGGTATACCAGTTTGCGTCCAGGGTGCCTCGAGCATCCGAGTCCTTGTCCAGGGCCCCTCAGCATCTGAGTCTGCGTTCAAGGCCCCGCAGGCATCTGAATCCTCATCCAGGGCCTCTCAGCCTCCGATTCTGTGTCCAGGGCTCCTCGGGCGTTTGAGTCTGCATCCCAGGAGCCTCGAGGGTACCAGTCCGCATCCAGGGCCCTTCAACATCCGAGTCTGCGTCCAGGGTCCCTTGGGTGTACTAGTCCGCGTCCAGGGCGCTGTTCTCACTTAGTAGCTGTTGGCCAATCTGAGTGGCCGCCTCAGTGTTCTGAAGGACTCTGCGCTGTTTCCACCTGCAGGATGCAAGGGTTCCAGTTGCCGTGCACCCGCCAGCACTTGTGGGTTGTGGGTTGGTGATTGTGGCCATCCTTTGTGGTCTGGAAACCTGCTAGGAGCCTAAAGAGAGCCCCTGTCACAGCTGGGCCATTAGGCAGGTCTGCCCACTGGGCGTTGGTACACACCCTCGTCCAGCACACCTGCACCTCTCCTCGGGCACCGCAGCCCGGCTCCAGGTGCCCCTGGGGAGTTCGCGTGATATGTGACAGGGGGACCCAGCGTGGGGGCTCAGTGGTCTCTGAGACCCGTTGGTTTCTTGCCCACAGAACCATGACCACGCCTGCATCGCCTGTCGGATCATCTACCGGTCGGACGAGCACCACCCTCCCATCCTGCCCCCCAAGGCCGAGCTGACCATCGGACTGCACGGGGAGTGGGTGAGCCAGCGCTGTGAGGTGCGCCCCGAGGTCCTCTTCCTCACCCGCCACTTCATCTTCCACGACAACAACCACACCTGGGAGGGACACTACTACCACTACTCGGACCCCGTGTGCAAGCACCCCACCTTCACCATCTACGCCCGGGGCCGCTACAGCCGCGGCGTGCTCTCCTCCAGGGTCCTGGGCGGCACCGAGTTCGTGTTCAAAGGTAGGCGGCTGCCTGTGCTGTCACCAGGCTTCAGTGGGGCCTCTTGTGCCGGGGATGCTGGGGACAAATCAGAAGGCCACCTTCAAACACCCCGAGCCCCTCCTGCTCACAGCAGGGCCGGCTGCGGGGTCTGGTCCTGCGGGCTCCAGGGTGGCAGAGGTGCCACCAGGTTGGCAGTTGTGGGTGTGGCCCAAGAGGCTGTCACTGCCAGTGAGACTCAATCTGCGTTTTCTTTTTGCCACCACCTTATGGCCATCCTGAGCTGTCCCCCTGAGAGCCTTGTGCTTGCTTCTATGCTGAGTGGGCAACAAGGAGTGACTGTTAGTGACCCTCGGCTGCTCCAAGTTGTCACCTCCCAGCTAAGCTGGCCTGCGTGTGAAAGGTCATCCTGGGGAAGGTGGGGGGGATGAGCACTGGGGAGTTCAGGCCGGGTACTGTCACCCAACAAGGAGGTCTCAGGATTTAAGTTTGAACCCCTTTGAATATCCAGTGTCAGCTCTGCCTTGTAGTTAAGAGGCACGGCCACCTGGGAGGGCCTCCCTGTGGGTTCTAGAGCTGTTGGCTAACATGCTCTGCCCACCCGGGCCCTGCTAGAGAGAAAGGTTCGCTCCCCCAGCACAGGAGGCGGTGGGCCGGCTGAGAGAAAGCACCCCTCCCCACAGTCCCCTCAGCCCCTGGGTCCCCAACAGGAGCTAGTCCCCTGGGGTAGCCGGCAGAGCCTCGCCACTGGCCAGGGTTTCTGAGCCTGGCCTTCCTGCTCACTCACTTTAGATGCCCGACTTAGGGGCCTGCTGTTAGTTCATGAGATGCTGCGGCTAATACAGACATCTGACGCTTTTAGACATCACAACACTTTTTCATCAAAACAAAATTCCAGCTTTTATTGAATATTCTTGCCTCCCAAACAGACAGCTCAGAAGTCTCCCACACAGGCTGATGCTAAACCCAGAAGCCTGCTCCGCCGCAGATTGGGCTTTGCATTTGTGCCTGAGGGTGGTCTGTTTCCTGGCCACCCCTGCTGGGTGCAGTCACCCTTCAGGATCCACGGGGAGTTGGCTGCAGGACCCCCAAGATTCCCAGATCCGAAGTTGCTCAAGCCCCCCATGTACGGCTGTGTAGCAGTCGTGTGACCTGCAGTCCCCGCATCCTTAATCCCTAGGAGGCTGGTCTTGCCTAAGACGGTGTCAGTGCTGGTCCTTTGGGGAATAGGGAAGAGTCTGCTTTCAGTCAGACCCGGCTCCCCCACCCCGTCTTGGGACGTGGAAGCATGGGTGGCCTGGGTGGTTGTCTTCCCTGTGACTCCCACTCAGATGACATGGGGACTCTTCCCCCCTGAGAGTGCTTCAGGATTGCCCGGCCAGCTGGCCGGGGAGGGAGCTGAGGCTTGGTTGGGATGGAGCGTCCCCAGCATTTGCTGGGTGAGTGCCTACTCCCCCCGCCATGTATTGTCCCTTGGAGTTACACACTCTCCTGTCTCCTCCACAGTGAATCACATGAAGGTCACCCCCATGGATGCGGCCACAGCCTCGCTCCTCAACGTCTTCAATGGGAACGAGTGTGGGGCCGAGGGGTCCTGGCAGGTGGGCATCCAGCAGGACGTGACGCACACCAACGGCTGCGTGGCCCTGGGCATCAAGCTACCTCACACGGAGTACGAGATCTTCAAGATGGAGCAGGATGCCCGGGGGCGCTACCTGCTCTTCAACGGCCAGAGGCCCAGCGACGGGTCCAGTCCTGACAGGCCGGAGAAGAGGGCCACCTCCTACCAGATGCCCCTGGTGCAGTGTGCCTCCTCCTCGCCCCGAGCAGAGGACTCGCCCGAGGACAGTCGCGGCCACCCTTACGGCCGGGCACCGGGAGCTGCAGCCTGGCCGCTGCTGCTTGCCACTCTCGCCACCCTTTTGACTCTTCTGCAGTGGAACGTCCTCAGATAGAAGTTTTTAGAAGGTTTTATTTTTCTAAGCCAGGATTTCTTATCATTTACAGATTTTCTTTACAAAAAAGGAAAGACATTGATTCTTCTGATGCACTTGAAAGCCTGAGGCCGTCCCCTCTGCCCTCCCTCCCTCCAGCCCTGTGTGGTGACCAGCTGGTTTGAAGTCTCTGCTTTGAACTCCAGCCAGCCAGCTCCCGATTGCCCTCGGGCTCTGCAGACGGCCTGGCTTCAGGCTGGCACGTTGGGAGAGCAGTGGGCAGAGAGCGAGGTCCTCTGGCCCTTGCCCTCCTCCGTGTGGTTGTGTCTCTGAGTTGAGCTTAGAAGAAGCAGCTGTCCAGTTCCCACTCCTGCCCTTTACCACGGCTGCCCCCAGCCTCCTTGAGACAGTTTTTCTCTCTGCATTTTCTGGGCTGGAGAGCTGGTCTGGGACCGCTCTGGAGACCCCGGGTGTTAACGAAGAGGGTGTGGATGTGTACACAGGAGAGCTGCGAGGTTTAGCGAGACGGCTTATACAGCGTTTGTGCAAAAAAAGGAGAGTCCACGTGTGTGGGAATGTTGAGTGGGAAAATGTCTGTGATTAAAATTTCTAAGTAATTTAAACCATTTGTACATCAGCATTTTCACTCTGAGAGAGGAGACTTGTCCCATGCTGGTGCCGGTGGCAAGCCGCTTCTTCGTCACCCTCGCCGTGGACGGGGCGGTCGGGATGTGACAGAAGCAGACCTGTGGCTGGACAGACAGGAACAGTGGGTGCAGGGTGCGGGTGGTGTGTTAATTGCCACATGAGCCACAGAGACAGTACCTATTTGTTGCACAGTTTCCTCCTCGTGGGGGACCCCAATCCCGGGCCCATTGCTGGGTGGAGCAGAGGGAGCCCCACTCTGGCATCTCTGCCATCTTTAAAGACAAACTCAGAGAGGCCAAGCTCGGCGCTGCAGCGGCTGGCTCTTCAGAGGGTGCAGCAGGAGTTGCCCGTGCCAGGTGCTGGGTGCCCCTGGGTGTGCAGCCAGGAGCGCGTGCATCCTCCGATCACCGGCCAGCCAGCGTGGCTCGTGTTCCTTCCTGCCCTTGCCTGGGCTCCGTCCTGACTGTGAGTTTCAGGGCCACTCATTCTGAGTCCGCTTCCCTCACAGTCGTCAGGAGAGTGGGTGTTCAAGGCTGCCCAGCCCTTGGAGTTATTGCAAATGGTGCTACCTAAACACCAAGTGCTCTTGCACTTAGAGACCAGCACGGGCAGGTGTGAGTGACAGGAAGCTCCGTGGAACTAGGAGCAGATGCCGAGACCCCGGTCCCGGCTTTGGGAGTCGCCCTCATATTTAGAGTGGACTTTGTAAGACGCCGCGGTGTCTGGTGTGTTGTGAGGTACAGAGATGGCATACGGCACCAGAGTGCTTTATATTTAGATTATATTTTAGTTCGTGGTGCATACCCGAGGGGATACATCAAAATGAAAATACTAACTTAATGTCTGCCAAGTTTAATAAATAATGAAGCCAAAACTACTCCCCAAAATGCATTTTATCTGTGGACCTTTTTAATTAATACCGATGCTGTCATTCAGGAATAATAAAACTTCATGGGAGACTGTGCACCCAGCACTTACCCAGTGACAGACGCGTAGCCACTCGGCCCACCGCCGTCACCTACCTTAGCTGTCTGTCCTTAAAAGCCTGCCCCCATACCTACATACCCCCAGGTGCATGAGTGTGTGACAGTCCCAGGTGACGTGGAGTCCCAGGGTCACATCACATGCTGAGGCAGTGTAGGTCAGTGGAGAAGGACCAACATGACTTACCACAAATGCTGACCCCCAGGCTGACACCTGCCACCACACCCCCTCATAAGTTGGGTCTCGCGTGGGTCACGTCACGCCAGCACCCATGGGCATCTCTCACACTAAGCTCCTCCGCACACCCCACACAGTGAGCTTCCCAGAACCTTGAAGACATGGGTCCTCTAGACGAGGGCCAGCAACACTGCCTGGAAACCAAGACAGGACCTGAGGAAAGGGATGCCTGCTCCTGGAACATTCTATCTACTCCACACTCTCAGGAGCTGGAGAGTCTCTTGTACTCAGTGGCTGGGAGTTCTCTGTGAGGTTTGGAGAGAGGATAAGAAAGGGAGGCTCTAGCAGACCTGCTGCAACTGGGTGTCTTGACTCGTTGCTGCAGTAGAACACCTGAGTCCGGATATTTTATAAAGAATAGAGGTTTGCTTTGACTCACAGTTCTGGACACCAGGAAGTCCAAGGTCAGGTGGCTTCTCTGGCAAGGGCCCCTACACATGGTGGAAAGCGGAAGGGCCACCTGCTGTGTGTGGGAGAGGCAAGACACGAGGCGGAGCTGGCCCTGTGACAGCCACTCCCATGCTGTCTAGCCCAGGCCCTCCTCCCAAGAGGACAGCATCAATGTGTTCCTGAGGGCTCCCCATGGTCCAGACCCCTCCCAACCCAGCCGATGAGGACTGGGGTCAGACAGCTGTTCTTCGGCAACAGTAAGGTTTGGAGGGAGTCAAGACTTCACCCTCTCCAATCCTCAGTGACCCTGGGCTCCCAGGATGTGCTCCAAGTCCCGGGACCCAGCACAGGCCCCCTACACTGGTGTCCCAGAGCAGCCACTCACATCCTGCCCAGCCTCTGTGACTTCACGTGGCTATCGCAGCAGTCCCCTCGGCGCTCTTGTCCTGTGGCCATGGGGGTGACATGGCATCACCCTACACTAAGGACCCCACTAGACCAGGGACAGTCCAGCATGTCCAGGATAGGGCCTCACACCCCTGATGGAGGGGCTTGAGAGGAAGACCGTGGTTTCCAGTGAGGAGAAGCCCAGCTGGTAATCAGAGGGCCACGCTCTGCTCCACGCCTCTGCAGTACACCCCGAAAACCAGCGGAGCTTCACACCTTGCCGTGTCTGGTTCTGAGACGGCCACCCAACCCCATAAGAGGCCAGGGGCGTGGCAATGGGGTACAGAACCCCACAGTGCCCCTAGTTAGTAAGCAGGACCTCGTCCCCAAAGGAACACGCACCAGAGCCTGGGTGGGTGATGAGTAGGGACGGTGGGGACAGAGGGGGGACAGAGGGAGCTCAGAGGCCTGCCACCCACACAGGTGTTGCCGGCCCCTTGAGACAGCTGAGCTGCCCTGCACCCAAACCTCCTCACACGGAGGCACCTGCAGAAGAGCAAATGAGGACATTTGGAGGGTGTTTCCCCTGGTTCCCAGACAGGGGTGCGAGCCTGCTTTTCTTCTGCAAGAGAATCACCTGTGTCACAGAGCCAACTCCTCAAGTCCCTGGGATGACCTGGTATTCCTGGTTTACAGGGCAGACAGTCACCAAGGCAAACTTGGGCCCCTGTTTGGTCACAGTCCCCTTTATCCTTCCCCTGGTGTCTCAATTGGCAGATGCAACACTATCTCGATTTAAAAGACAAAAACAGGAAAGTTATGAGGACAGTATGGCCTCTGGCTTCCATATTGGCTGAGATGTGAACACAGTGACACACTTGTGCTGTCCCACCCTGCCCAGGAGACCTCACTGAGACCAAGTGGCACTCAGGGCACTCAGGCACCTTCACTCAGGGCACGGTTATGTCTAAGGCAGGTGCAGGATGGCCATCGGCAGGGCGGTGGCTCCGCTGAATCCCACCACAGCGTGAACAGCCCACTCTGTGGCCGGAGCCCCTGAACACCCCTGTACCCTGAGCCACTGTGTGGGTGTCCCTGAGCCCAGACAGCCGCAGGGGCCCCCAGGCCTCCAGGCTGTGCCGACCCCCCAGGAGCTCAGCCTTCATCTCCCCGTGCTGGAGGGCAGTGAGCGCTCTGTCCATTGCTAATGAATAAGGAATTATGTGATCCTTGTTATGTCCCAGTGAGTCACTTCCTCTCAAGTGACATTAATAGCAGGGGAGTCCCTCGGGGTGGAAAGCATGCTCTCTGAGGATTCTGGGCCTCTGAGCCCAAGTCTTGTTTCCATAGCTCAGACAGATGCCAGGACACCAAGTCTGGACCCTTCAGAGGACCAAGATGATCACAACCAAGTGTCTCCAAAGACATCTCCCGTCACACTGTCCTCCTGTCTCCTGAGCACCATGCTCAGGCTCCCCCAGAGGAGCAGTCGGGTCATGCTGGTACCCTGGCATCCACGGGTGGTCACTGAGAAATGAAACAGAGCCGTGTGAAGTCTCAGGCCCAGCATCACAGATATGAAAGAAAACAGTTAAATACTCCCAGGGGCTTGATTGACAGCTCCTGAGAAGAGCACTTCTGAGAGTCCCTGAAGGGAGCCTGCTGTCCCCAGGGCTCCTACTGTGAGTGGGAAAGGCATTGCTGTGGGTGGGGTAAGGCAGGGCAGCAAACCGCAGCCAGGTGGCTCCCTCCACGTAAGTCCAGGGAGGAAGGCTCTGGACACCAGGGCCACTTCAGCCAGCCTTGGAGCTGGCCGGAGCTGGCTGGAAGGGCTGACTGCAAAGAGAGCTCCCTGGACCAAAGAGACTTTGATGAGTGCCTCTTCCTTTCTTTGCCCCAGAATTTGAACCCGGCTTTCTCTGCCACAGCAGGAACAACCGCTTCCTGAAAGCCCATCACTTGTGTGACTTTGTAAGCCGTTCCTGGTGCAGGTTGCTTCATTAGTCTTCACAGCTGCCTGGCGTGGAGTTTTGAGATTGTGAATTCCTACTGAAATACCTGGCTACAGTCTGCACCGTGCTTGCTCTGTCGAACCTCTTCATTTTATCTTAAAGGCTTCGTTACTGAGCCCTGCTGACCATGGAGGCCCAGGGAAGCGCACAAACTTGGGTCTGGTCCCTGACTGGGGGAGGGAGAAGGGAGGAACTGGCCTTTAACACTCAGGATGGGACTCACCAGACCTCGCTCCCTCGATCCAGACTGAGGTAAGCCAAGGGCACCTGCTCTCCTCCAGAAGCCCCCCAGCAGAATCATGGAAGCCCTCTTTGCAACAGTGGACAATTTCAACCCCCAGATTCCCAGGGGGCTTGAGTGACCCTCAGTGTCACGGCCTTCCCAAGAGTGATCTTTCTCAGCCCCAGGTCTCCCGGGCAGTGAGTGCAGGCACCTTGGGGATAGCGTCCTGCACAAAGGCTTCCATTTTAAGAGCAAAGGTTTGGAGACCTAAGGTCCAACAGGGGAGCCTCCATGTGGTCAAGGACCCTCCTTGGAAGCCTGAGGCACGGAGGGGTCCTCTACCGGAGAGTGTTGACTGGGGTGTCTACACCCTCAGGCCACCAGTGTCCTTTAGAGGTTTGTCGAGCCTCTGCTTGTAGCTCAGGGCTTATCGCCCCGTGGGATCAAACCTGGCTTGCCCAGTCCCCCTCCCTCACTCCCTCACTAGGGCTCTCCATCACCTCCCCCGGTGGCTGGACCCATGTCGGATGTTCAGCCATCACTCCACTGTGAGGTGACCTGTGAGCCGGGCCACAGTCTGATCCCGTCAGGTACACAGGCTTCTCCACAACTGGAGGATGAGGCGCTCAGGGGTGAGGCCGAGCTCTGTTTTGCTCTGTCCTTTGATAACGGCCGTCCCCATAGGGGTGGGGTAACGGCTCGTTGTGGCTCTGCCTTGCATCCCCCTGGTGTTAGACGCAGAGCCTCTTTTTGTATTCTTGCTGACCATTCGCACGTCTTCTTGGGAAAACTGTCTATTCAAACACTACCCATTTTGTTAATTGAGTGATTTGCTTTCCTGATTTTGAGTTCCTTATGTATTTTTAATATTAATCTTTTATCAGATACGTGGTTGGTAACCATTTTTTCCCCTTAGGTGGGTTTCCTCTTCGCAGTAGGAATAAATTTAACTAAGCATGTGAATGACTTATACACTAAAAACTCTGCCCAAGGCAGTCCACAGATCTAATACAATCCGTATCAAAGTCCAAATGAAACGCTTCACAGAAATAGGAAAAATAAACCTGAAATTAATATTAAATTAAATGAAGGACCCCGAATACTCAAACAATCCCTGCAAAGAAGATCAAGGCTTGCGGCATCGCTCTGCTTGATCTTGAGAAATATTCCAAAGCTACAATGGTCAGAACAAGGTGGTCCTGGCGTCCAGACAGACACAGAGACCCATGGGACAGACAGCCCAGAAGTAGACCTGGGCATGAGTGGTGAATCGACCTGCTGCAAGCACCCAGAACCACCCTGGGCAAGGAGAGTCCCATCCACAGAGAGTGCTGGGGAAACTGGACATGCACAGGCCACAGGGTAAAGCAAGACCCGCCTCAGACTCCCACCCAAGGGCACGCAGACAGGCCAAGGACTCAAATGTACGACCTGAAGCCAAGATTCACGAGAGCAACCCGACGCTCCCTGGCCGGTCAGGAGGATGACGCCATGGATGGGACAGCAGAAGCATAGGTGACAACCACAGAAACAGGACAGCAGGAGATTAAGCAGCCGCAGGGCACAGGATGCACAGTCCAGGGAGCAAAGTCCAACACGGGCGGGCGGGGGACGGCAGTAGGGTTACGCAAGGAAGCCCCTCAAG